TGCTGGTACTGGGCTGGCTGCTGCTGGTGCTTGTGGGAGCGTGGCTGCTGCTGCTGCTGCTGGCTGCGCTGCCTCCTCTGTGCGTTGTGCTGCTGATATCCGTTGTGCTGACGCTGATGGTGCTGGCTGTCATCGCGGGCCCACTCCCAGGGTCGCCCTCCGATGGCACCGATATCTCCTGACCAGTCTCTGGCGCTGTTGCTGCGCCTGCGCTGGTGTTGCTGCTGCGCCTTCGTCGTCATCTCGCTGCTGCTGCGGCTGCGCTGGTGCTGCTGCTGGCGCTGGGGCTGCTGCGCTGAGTGGTGGCTGTTGAGTACGTTGGCCGCCTCCACCACGCGCAGCAGGGCCCTCGCCGAAGAGCGGCGCGCCCTCTCCCGCCTGTGCCAGGCGGGTTCCTGAGGCGTCTGGCCTCACGTGGCGCGCCAGCAGGCGCGCAGCCAGGCGCAGGGTCGCGGCTGCAGCGTCGGCTATCGCCGACCCGCCGCGGCGCGCGAGCCCGGCCCCGCGGGCGGCCGATCACGATTGGCGTGAGTCGATCGGCGCGATCGAACGATCAGGCCGAACGGAAGATCGTTCACGGCCCAGGCCCGCCAGAGGCCAAATGGGCTTTCAGAGGGCCCTCCTCCTCCTCCTCCTCCTCCTCCTCCTCCTCCTCCTCCTCCTCCTCCTCCCTCGGCTGGTCCACCCGGGAAAAAATCCTCCTCCTCCTCCTCCTCCTCCTCCTCCTCCTCCTCCTCCTCCTCCTCCTCCTCCTCCTCCTCCTCCTCCTCCTCCTCCCCACCGCCCTCGCCTTTCTCGGAGGAGCCCTCCTCCTCGGACGACCGCCCCCCGCTCGCGGCGGCGGCCCCTTTTTGACAGCGCCGCCCAGGGGGAGGGGTGGGGAGCGCGGGGGGGAGGGAGGGGCAGGAGCAGGAGGGGGCCTAAGAGCCCCCCCCCCGGGCCTTCTTGGAGAAGCCCTCCTTCTCGGAAGTCCGCGCTTGCGACGGCAGCCCCTTTTTTGACAGCGCCGCCCAGGGGGGGGGGGGGAGCGCGAGGGGGGAGGGAGGGGCAGGAGAAGGAGGAGGGCCGATGATTTTTCAGCACCTAGGATTTGGGGGCTTCTCTTGGGGGCTCCCCTCCTGGGGGATTTGGGGGCTCAGGAGGCTCAGGGGGGCTTCTCGGAAGGCTTCTCTTGCAGGCCGGGCGGGCTCTCGGATGGGCGCCCCCCGCTCGCGCTGGCAGCCCCTTTTATTGACAGCGCCGACCAGAGGGAGGGGTGGGAGCGCGGGGGGGGGGAGGGGCAGGAGGGCTCCAACGGGGGTCTTTGGGAAGGGGGTTTTCCAGGAGGGGTCCCCCAGGGGCTTCGCACCCCCTGTTTTGACCCCCTGGGGGGTTCTCTGGAAAACCCTCTCACCAAAAACCCCCTTTTGGAACCCTCCGGGGCGGGGCAGGAGGAGCAGGAGGAGGGCCGATGATTGATCAGGCGATCGCCAGCATGGATAAAGGGGGCGTGGATTAGCGACGGGTGCCGTTGCCACGGGAAATCGCGGATTTCCACCGCCGAGCGAGGCGGCACCGGCCGCACTTTGGGGGAGGGCACCTCCCCCGATCCATGGATTTGGCGACCGCGCGCCAAATCCATGGATCTCTAATCCATGTTTGCGCGCCCCCGAATTTAGCATCTAGGATTTGGGTTGCTTGTCGCACGTCCAGGAGGCCAATCGTCGCCACGGCGGGCTTTCGGCCGTCTTTGACTCGAGCGTCACGGAGAGCACTTCTATATGCAGGCTTCACGTTGACCAGAGAAAGGGATCGATTCCGTCGGAATTTGAATCTTGACCCTTCGCAGATTCCCATTGGCCCTTTCCAGAAACGATTCCCAGGCACTGTGCCGTGAGGAGGGTCGCGGGGGAGCATTCGCGGAACAACGACGGGTGACACCAGTCAGACATCGATGTTGGGGTCAGCCCGAGCGGCCCCCAACAAGCACCAACCCGAGGACTTTCGGGATCCTTTTGGGGGGTGTTCTGTTGGAGCAATCGCTCAAGCAGTGGCGAAGCGCCCTGGCGCGCCTATAGGCCTACCAGACACTGTTATAAGAACCTTGTGTGGCTTGCACGAAATGTTCTCAGAACATGTCTGCCTGGGACTGTCTTGTCTTAGCGCATCGGTTATATTATGAGAGCATTGTTTTGGTTATTCGAACGTTTTTGGGTTCTAAGAACATTTCGTGGCAGGCCTACAGGAATGCCGGGACGGTCGGTCCCTGCTCAAATCACAGGGGCTCCTTTGGTGATTTTGTCGGAGCGAGGGGATGGCCACCTGCAGATCCGCCAGGGGTCAAGCCCACGCTGGCGATGGGCCTGTCAGGTTCAGTTCGGTTGGTGATAATTTTCTTACTCGTTGTTTCGACGATCGGCGCGGGCCTTCGCCCCCCCCCTCCCTCCCCACCCTGGAGTAGATCTCGGCTGTTTTGGCGTCTGTGTCAAGCAGGTGGAGTCCCCCCCCACAGGATGCACTGCTGCAAGCAGTCGCATCAAGCAGAGGTCAGGAGCTAAGCTAGACCCCCCCCTCCCCCCCTTCCGCCCAATGTCGAAACGCCGGATAAGAAAACGTTCACCTGCGCGACGGGGCAGTGGAAGTGGACATCGAACGACTCTTGCTCGCAGGCAGTTCGAAGGCATACTAATCTGAAGGTAGCTGAGTCCGAAGGTATGCTAACTCCGCTGCTTCCGGAGCGCCCTGCGCTGGTCAGGCAGCGCGGCCATGTTCGAGGTGTACGCCCTCCTCTTGGAACGTCAATGCAACATCGAATTGCGATGCCAGTCGCAACCATGTATACATATCCGGGGGAGTGGCAACCGTCCGAGTTGTTACCCAGCCTCAGTGATCGAGGCGCTACGTATTGCATTCGCCGCGCCCACGTAGAGTTCAACGCACGTGCCGACGGTATCACCAACGATGTAATCACCAGCGGCGCACTGGGGGGGGCCTTTGGGGACCTCCTGGAGCTTTGGGTGCCCTCCTGAGGCCCCGTGGGGCCATGTTGAGCCCCCAGAGGCCCATCGTAGACGACCACGTGTAACGTGTTGGAAGCCAGATCGAACACAGTCGGGCCATGTAGGTCGACCGTGGAAGCACGATTGGGCAATCTGTTAGCAGCATTGGGCCATCCTGGAAGCTCTGACCACTCGGCCCTCCTCCCGCCCCCACAGGTGTGGTATGAGCTTCCCCTCGAGGACCAGAGGAGGGGTTTGGGATTCGCGGATCCGATGAACAGCCTACGCACAGAGGGTTGGTGGGACGTGTTCACGCCCAGGAATTCTTGACGCCTGCACAGCCTCCTGGCAGCCCCCGGCAGCTCTTGCAGCCTCCGGCAGCCCCCAGCAGCTCTTGCAGCCTCTGCCCTCGGCGCAGCCCAGCTTCTCCCGGCGGTAGGTTTCGCTGTTGCTGCGCGCGCTAGGCAATTTGTTCTGCTCGTAGCCCGAGCCGACCCGTGATGCCACCGGAGCCTTCGCCTGCGGTTGCGACAAAAAATCCCCACCAGCCCATCCAGAAACGATGCCCATGAGAGTTGACGGAGGGAGAGAGGAAGAGGCCCGCATTGTCAAACAGCGAGGGAGGCTTGGGAGGCTTCGTGGCCATCTCGAGCCGTCTTGGAGCGCTCTTGGGGCCGCTTGGAGCATCGTGGGAGCCATCTTGAGCCAGCTTGGGCTATCTGAGCTATCTTGGAGGTCATCTTGGGCTCTCTGAGGCCGCTCGGGGGCCTCTTGTGGGCCTCTCGGGTGCCTCTCGGAGGCCTCTCGGGGCTTCTTCGGGCGCTCTTTGGGCACTCTTGGGAGCCTCTTGGGAGCCCTGGAGGGCCTATTGGGGCCATCTTGGAGGCGGTCGGTCAAGAGAGGCGGAGTCCTAGATTTCCCTCCTCCCTCGGTGGCCACGATCCTCGTGAGGGGTGTCAAACATTGACCCTCCCAGGGGCCGCAAAAGGACCCTCTGACACCTCGCGACCCATCCCAAAAAGCCTCAGGGAGGGGAGGGGGAGGGCCCCCCTCCCCGAACTAAGGGAAGAGGGGTCGTGGAAGAGGAAAGAGACCCTCGTTTGACCACCTGTCGCCAAAAGGGCTGGCGGGATTCTTCACGAGCGCGACGCAGGGGGAAAGCAACTTCCCCTGACATCCTCCGATCCGATGTTTCGATCCGCGGCTCCAGAACTCCCGACCCCTTCCCAAGGCTAGGTTTTCGCTTAAGTCGGGCCTGCCACAATACAGAAGGAATATTCAAGAATAGTACAAAAATTGTCGGGGGACGATTTTTCTACTATTTTTGACCAGTTTTGAGTACGTTTCGAGTAATAGTATTCGTCCAAAATCGGCCTGTAGGGGTACATGCCCGACCTAAGTTTTCGCCCTGGATTCATTCTTGATCGTCCCGGGACCCGATAACGGCTCCCAGAGGCCGACGTCGAGGAAAAACCCAGGCGATCGCAAACATGGATCAAGGGGGCGTGGATTAGCGACGGGTCCCGTTTCCATGGGAAATCGCGGGTTTCCGCCGCCGGGCGAGGCGGCACCGGCCGCACTTTGGGGGAGGGCGCCTCCCCCAATCCATGGATTTGGCGACCGCGCGCCGAATCCATGGATCGCTAATTCATTTTTGCGCGCCCCCGAGATGACGGCTCCCGGAGGCCGACATCGAGGAAAAACAACGGGATCGAACAAGCCACGTCGTCGGAGGTTTGGGTCCTTGTGGCCCAGCAGCGGCCGAGGACGTTCCATTGCCCACGTCCTCCGCGGGCATCGGGCCGAACGAAAGGGGGGGATAAGGAAAGGGGGGGGTGCGAAATCTGCTGCATGCAGCTGGTTTCGGCCCCGCCGCCAGGCCCGGCGCGGGAGGCGCCGGGAACTCAGCTGCGTGAGCTGATTCTCACACACCCCTCTGCTGTCCCCCCCCTTCGCCCGGCCCGAGGGCAGGGAAGGAGGAGGGGGTGGAGGCCGGGGCGGAGAGCCCCTGCGTCGGCCGAGGCCAAGGCGGTGGGATCGACCTCGGAAGGGGGCGACGTTCAGGCGGGCCGCCGGGGGCAGGTTTGCAAAGCTGCTTCTCTTCCCGCCTCCCTCTCCTCCCTAGGCCCTTTCGCGATGCGAGAGAATCGCGAGGAGCGGGGAGGAGGAGGAGGAGGAGGAGGAGGAGGAGGAGGAGGAGGAGGAGGAAGAGGGAGGAGGAGGAGGAGGAGGAGGAGGAGGAGGAGGAGGAGGAGGAGGAGGAGGAGGAGGAGCTTTCGGTTTCCGGGTTCCCGCCCCCCATCTCCTCCCTACTTGAATGCCCGTTGGGGGGGCTACCCAGAGAGGTGTTTTCACGTGTGGATCTGTCGTTTACAGAAGCCACCTCGCCGTTGACAGGAGCAACTTCGCAAGTGAGTGAAACAGGTTAGCCAGCCTAGTTTATCTAAACAGTTTAGGGGCCCCTGTGAACTCCGTAAACGATTTCCTCGCATCGCGAAAGGACCTACAGGTTCTTTCGCGTTATGATGTTCCAATCTACTTTAGCCTTCATCACCAGACAGAATTGCGAGCACCAAACAAAGTACCGAAACTCGAGGGTTTTCACATGTCGGGCCCTGGGGGACACTCGTCCGACACTGTTTCGACACTCTTTCGACACTCTTTCGACACTTTTCTGGATGCTCGAAATTATTTCTGGGATGTGGTGCCTAAGTACGATGGGAGCAACATAATTTTCGCGATGCGGAAGAATTGCGATTGAAGGTTTTGGGGTGCTTTCGGCTTCCAGGGGTCCTCGCCGGGCCCCTGGAGCGTAAACACGCCAGTACTGGGGATGAGGAGAAGCCAGCCCCCGAGAGGGGGTCTAGCCTTCTGGGTTTTCACGCTGCGGCAACAACCACTACGCTGGGGGTCGGGGGAGTTTGTCGTTCTTGTCCCTCCTCCCTCCCTGCCTCCACCTCTGCCCTCCCTCCCTGCTCCATGTTTGCTCTCCTCTCTGTCTGTCTCCCTTTTTGTCCGTCCTGCGCTCCCTCCCCCGCTCCCTGCCTTTCCCCGCTCCCTACTTGCCTTCCTTGCGCCCATCGCCCCAGACACCCGGCTGTTTTGATTTGTTTGCACCACTTCGCCGGGGCCAGTTTTGAGTCCTCGGCCGTTTTTGTTGACGCTCCCGAGGCCCGGCTTCGGCTCCCGGAGGCCGAAAACGGCCCCCAAACCGCCCGCTCCAACTGCCGTCGGAGCATCGGATCTTTGGGGTCCTCCCGTCTCTCCGACGGAGGACCCTGGCGAAGTGGTGCAAACCTCTGGGGCCCACGCAGCAAACAGATCAAAGCAGCCGGGTGTCTGGGGCGGTGGGCGCAAGGAAGGCAAGCAGGGAGCGGGCAGATCCCTTCCTGGGTTCCTTTCTTTCAGGAGGAAAAGAAACATATAGACACAATTAATCGTCAATTCCCCAGAAAATATGGGAAAATATGGGAAGTGGTGGGGAAGACAAAAACCCAGAAAATATGGGAAAATATGGGGCATCATTTTATTTGTGTGTATTCATTTGCGTGTCCCTCCTTCCTTCACCGCCTGCCTGCCCCGTGGCCGTGCGGGACTCCCGGGCGGCCGTGTAGAGGGGGGTTGGGGCACCGTGGGCCGCTCGCGCCACGTCGCGCCGACGTGCCCGCCAAATCCAGGCTCCCTGGCGTAGCTTGGAGTCGGGCTGTGTCCCTCTACAGGAGGAACGTTCACAACAATCATGTCACAACATACTCTGGAGACGATGTGGACTAGTTCTGACTATTTGTGCGCACTGTCGGTGTATTTTTGATCGTTCGTCCAAAAGCCGTCTGAGGGAGGACATGCCCGACCTGGGCGAAGCTCTGCGCCGTGGTTAACACTGCATCTTTGCGACTACTACTATAACTACTGCTAGTACTACTACTACTACTACTACTACTACCACTACTACTACTACTACTACTACTACTACTACGACTACTACTACTACTACTACTACTACTACTACTACTACTACTACTACTACTACTACTACTACTACTACTACTACTACTATACTACTACTGCTACTACTACTACTACTACTACT